GAGTGAACACCGTCAATGTAATTGTGCTGAATGTGGAGTGAACACCGTCAATGTAATATGAACTGAATGTGGAGTGAACACTGTCAATGTAATATGAGCTGAATGTGGAGTGAACACCGTCAATGTAATTGTGCTGAATGTGCAGTGAACACCGTCAATGTAATATGAGCTGAATGTGGATTGAACACCGTCAATGTAATATGAGCTGAATGTGGAGTGAACAACGTCAATGTAATATGAGCTGAATGTGGATTGAACACTGTCAATGTAATATGAGCTGAATGTGGAGTGAACACTGTCAATGTAATATGAGCTGAATGTGGAGTGAACACCGTCAATGTAAAATGAGCTGAATATGGATTGAACTCTGTCATGTAATATGAGCAAAATGTGGATTGAACACCGTCAATGTAATATGAGCTGAATGTGGAGTGAACACCGTCAATGTAATATGAGCTGAATGTGGAGTGAACACCGTCAATGTAATTTGTGCTGAATGTGGAGTGAACACCGTCAATGTAATATGAGCTGAATGTGGAGTGAACACCGTCAATGTAATATGAGCTGAATGTGGAGTGAACACCGTCAATGTAATATGAGCTGAATGTGGATTGAACACCGTCAATGTAATATGTGCTGAATGTGGAGTGAACACCGTCAATGTAATATGAGCTGAATATGGATTGAACAGTGTCATTGTAATATGTGCTGAATTTAGTTTTATGTTTGACATCCGCTCTCATTGTTTTTTCGATACCAATCCTTTTATTCATTCACGATGTGTCCATTTTCAACAGTCTGGGTATCGCTGAAATTAAAGCATGGCAAGACGTCAGGGGGGGGGGGGACACTCCCAGGCCCACCATTTAAGATTATACACCCCAGTTTAATGAACTCTATCCTTCTCCATCTCTGGTTTTATTTTCTTTAAATGCCACTCCAGTGTTTGGGCCTCTCAAAGGCAAATGGACTACATTGGTAACCGTGTATACAAATGCTCAGTAAACGGGCTCGATAACAAAGGCAAATAAAAGTTATTGCGGTCTATTATTACGTCAACAATTTTTAAAACAATTTTTGACCCCCCCCCCCCATGTCAACATTACAAACTTTCAATGGCCACCCTAAGTAATTATGTCCACATTTCTTTAACACTCCCCCCCCCCCTTACAAAAAATGAATTATAATTAAAATAAATAAATAAAATATATATACATTTGACGTTGTGCTGATCTATTTTTATAACACAAAATTGTAGAAAAAACATTTTATCGCATATTTAGCTAGTTATTGAACAAGTTACAATTTTATATAACTAAAAATAATTTCAATTTAAACTCATTAAATTTGTTAAAATAATGTAATAACCAGTCAATTTTTAGGATAAGAATTTTAATAGAAAAAAAATAAATTTTGAAGTCAGCTAATGGACCACACTTTGCCCTTGTCAATAATTGTCAATGATTCTCACAATGATTGAGACACTTAACCTTTTAGGTTGAGACACTTAAACGTTTACCTATCCTGATCGCAGCGCCCCACCCAGCTTATTAAGAAATGGATGAGTTATCCTTATCTGATAATTGTAATGTCTTATCAGTGAAAACAATCCACATACGATCAAACTTACCAGAAAACCTTGTTCAAAGTTCCAGCGGTTCATCTTAGTTTAAGGGTTAAAGGTCATCTCATTTTAAAAATAACTCACGTAAATGTTCTCATTAAAAAACAAAACCATCAAGAAATCAGTCGGCGCCGAAAGATCCGATCAAAGGAAGATCGGGCGGCATGCGTCATTCAACAGCCGGACAAGCGTGTGTGGGGGACAATGACTAGTGGTGTGCTGTTACATTATTATTTAATTAAATAGTGATTTTAGGTTTAAACGACATTTGAATTTAAATTGAGATAATTCAGAAAGAATGGAATCGTTAGTCTATTTTTAAAACATTATTTTTTAAAACATAAATTGTGGACCAGTAGTTGTGACAACTGCTGTAAGGTAGAAAAAAAAATTTCTTAACAATAAAAAAAAATATATATATAAATATTGCCTTTATCACACGTGTCCCCATCATAGCCATCACAACCATTCAAACAATCTCTATCATCCTGATGACAGCTGTTATCTCCACCACAGTTAGGACTGCAATCTGAATAATGAATATAGTAAATGTTAAAGAAATATTTGACGAGCTTTGTTATAATAGCTGATTTATCATAAAGCTATTGAAGCATTTATTGTTTTAGGTAAGAATTCAATTTCTTCTCACCAAGATCGCAAAGTTTTCCAGTTTTTCCCGGGATGCAGGAATCGCATCGTCCATTTTCCATGTTGCATAATTTTCTGGTACAGTTTACATTACAGCTCTGCGAACAGTTTTGGCCATAGAACGTTACTGAGCAAACTGTAAATAGAATGGGCAGTCCAGCTTTAATTAAATAGAATGGGCAGTCCAGCTTTAATTAAATAGAATGGGCAGTCCAGCTTTAATTAAATAGAATGGGCAGTCCAGCTTTAATTAAATAGAATGGGCAGTCCAGCTTTAATTAAATAGAATGGGCAGTCCAGCTTTAATTAAATAGAATGGGCAGTCCAGCTTTAATTAAATAGAATGGGCAGTCCAGCTTTAATTAAATAGAATGGGCAGTCCAGCTTTAATTAAATAGAATGGGCAGTCCAGCTTTAAGTAAATAGAATGGGCAGTCCAGCTTTAATTAAATAGAATGGGCAGTCCAGCTTTAATTAAATAGAATGGGCAGTCCAGCTTTAATTAAATAGAGGTACAAAAACGTAATGGTGGTGATTTGCCGATGTGAAATCCTGTCTGAGAGTTTCATTTTGAAAGATAACTGCTCAATTTGGTTCATGGAGCTGAGCTTCTAACTAATCAAACAAAATATTAGTATAAACACTTTAAATATATGTAAACCAAATTGATGAATAGAAGAAATGGGGCAATTTATTTTCAACTTCTTAAAACAAATAATAAAAAAAATATTTTCTAAATTTACTTTGATTCCAAAAGTGTTTTATAGAGAACAAATTTTTTTTTTCTTTATTACAAACTTTGAGATTTAAAAGTGCAAAATACTATGACTTCTTGAATTACCTTGATTGCACAAATCCCCTCGGTATCCAGCCTTACAGATACAGTAGCCATTAGTGTTATTGCATTCCTCATTGCTGCATTGCTTTGAGCACTGACTTGAACAATTTGTGCCATAAAACCCTGCACCACAAGCTGAAAATTATGGTGAGACTTTGATTAGTCCAGAGCTAACACTATATAAGATAGACTTTGATTGGTCAAGAGTTAACACTATATCAGGAAGACTTTGTTTAATCCAGAGCTAGCACTATTTCAGGGAGACTTTGATTGATCAAGAGTTAACACTATATCAGGGAGACTTTGATTGGTCAAGGGTTAACACTATGTCAGGGAGACTTTGATTGGTCAAGAGTTAACACTATATCAGGGAGACTTTGATTGGTCAAGAGTTAACACTATGTCAGGGAGACTTTGATTGATCAAGAGTTAACACTATGTCAGGGAGACTTTGATTGGTCAAGAGTTAACACTATGTCAGGGAGACTTTGATTGGTCCCGAGTTAACACTATATCAGACAACTTCTTTCAGGTGTGTAAATGACTAGATTTGCAACAATTTTAAATGGTATTAAATTTTCTACAAAAAGGAAATGAAAGCAAGCACTATAGGATAAGTAAAGTATTTTTTTTTTTAACAGAGCCCTGCAACACCAGCGTTAAATTAAAAGATTATAAAAGTTATTGTGGACTTTTACCTGGGCAACGCCAGATGTATAAGCTTAAGTTCAAACCTGATGAATAACTAACCTTGTACACACTTGTCTCCTTGGTATCCAGGTTTACAGCTGCAGGCACCACTGGTGACATCACAAGCCACATTCGAGCAATGCTCTGAGCATTTGTTGAGACAGTTTTTACCATAGAAGCCATCATCACATCCTGAGAGTTTTAACATGTTAAAATAATCATTAAAGAAACATGTATTAAGATGACTAGTTTTAAACACGAGTGACTAAAGTTAGACTTAGACAAAAATAATTGATTTAAAAACACTTACGATGCTTGGAAATTTGAAACGGTTTAGATCAGACTCCGGATAAACGGTTTAGATCAGACTCCGGATATTTCTCAAATTCCCGAGCATGTTTTAACGAGGAGTGAGGAAATGACTTGCTTTTAACTGACTTACCGACAAGTGACGCTAGCTGATGGGACCATTGACGGGGACCATTGACGGGGACCATTGACGGGGACCATTGACGGGGACCGTTGACGGGGACCATTGACCGGGACCATCGACGGGGACCATTGACGGGGACCATTGACGGGGACCATTGACGGGGACCATTGACGGGGACCAATGACGTGACCATTGACGGGGACCATTGACGTGACCATTGACGGGGACCATTTACGGGGACCATTGACGGGGACCATTGACGTGACCATTGACGGGGACCGCAGTGGTCCTAAAATCTGTTGCAACTTGTCGGTAAGAGACTAAAAAGTCACTCGCTTTTTCATCTTGTCATGCGTTCACCAAAATCTTGGCTACTTTATTCGTGGCCTTCGCTGTGTTATTATTTTTATTTATATATCGTAATTCACATGGGTTTATATCTGTATCATTCAGCATTCCAAAAGTTAGAGACATTTTTTTTATGAATAAAACATATCATCTAATTTAAATCTGAAAACATTTTTTTTTGGGTATTTTAAGGGGCATATCATTATCCAGCTGAAAACTGAGTAACCCCTTGTTTATATTTCAAAGTTTAAAAGGTGACATTTCAAAATGCCAATTAAACACATTAACACAAACTTACAAAGTAAATCCAGAATCCACTTACTTGTCTTGCACCCTTCACCAATATAACCAGCTGGACATCCAGACGAACACACACCAGTGCTGACCAAACATTTTTCACTTTTATTTTCACAGTTACAGGTCAGATCACATTCTTGTCCGTAGTATCCAGGACTGCAGATAACATCTGGGAGTTTCATGTTATAATTACATACAGTTCAAAAGACGCTGTATTTTGTTACATTTAAAATAAAACTTTTACTACAAATTAATGAAAATTTCAAACAAAATCAATATTCATCTCTAACTGAATCATCTCATGCAATTATTCATTAATCATGTGCAAGATGAATCGGTTCGCTTTTTTTTGTTTGTTTCTGATTTTAAAATGATTGTTGTTTTATAATTTAGAAAAAATTTAATTTCACTGAAGTACTTGAGATTTAAAATTCAAAACGAAAATTAATTACCTCAGATAACTTTATTGTTTAACTTAAAATTTTTAAAACGACAATTGTGTTGCTCAATATGCAAATAAAACTGTTACTTTCCCCAAAAATCAGATGTATCCGTTAAAATGCTTATTTAGAAGTAAGGTTTCATGTTTTTTTGGTTTTTTTTTAATCCATTGTTTAAATTAATGTGTAGTTCAATAAATCAATAAAACTAAAAGAAACAAATAGTTTTAAAGAAATAAACCTAAATCTCATTGTAATTAAGATGTTGTTTAGAAAAATATTTGAAGATTTTTCGATACAACAGCTTTACATTGTGTCCGTAAATTCATAGTTAATTTTGCTTTTTGGTGTTTATAGAAATTAGTGTGTGCCTAATTTTTCAAGAAAATGAAAAAAAATTGTCCCTTACAAATATTTAGCCGCAAGGTTTATAAAAAGTGTTGGACTGCGATAAAGCTTTAAAATAGATTAATTAGATACTAACAATTTGTGTCAATAGAATTTAAGCTTTGGTAATAGTTATACTTAATACGTGTGTAAGATTTACGGCAAGGGTTACAAAATGGTTTGTTTTCTTTACTATCAGAAATGTGTATCCTGCATTATACTTTTTATTTTAACAACTGTGCTTCTTTCAAATTTCTTGATCTGTTCGTGACAGAGTTATTTCAAAAGTTGTTTCTAGGAATTTTATAATATGGTTGACAGTTTTCTTACTAATGATGTTTTAGAAATAATATTCTAATGATCTTGGTCACTTGTTTATTGCCGCTTAAACTCGATCTTAAAGAATTGCCAAAACAATAACTGATAGACTTACCTATAAAATATGTAAAATAACTCACAATAGCAATGTGAATCTCTTTTAGACAAAATGTGTCTTTACAGTTGACAGTGAAAGCGTAGTAACAGTAATTCTTTTTTTTACTCTCAGCTCGGCTTGAACTCACCTCCATAAATTTCAACCTCACACAAAGTGAGAATCTTTTCACTGTTATTTGATGTAATTGTGACAGATGAAATGTTGTCACTGATCTCATAGTCTGTCACGCTATACACCTCATGCGGTTCGGTATCGTTGTCATGATAAGTAAACAATGGACTTGAGTTGCTATCATAGCTGACAAGTTGGAACTTTTTCAGTCGATCTGGATTCTGGTCTATCAAAATAGAAGTGAAACGCTGTCTTAATTTTTTTAATACAGTAGTCAAGGACAGGGGTTGAGTCCTGCAGGAACACATGCGAACATAGTCCATGTACTTTTTGCTGCCATCTAATAAATACTTATCAGTTTTCGGGAAAGAGGGGAAGGCGATCTTGGATGCGTTCTTAATTTTTTTTGTCCGCATATGACTTGACCCCTGCATATGACTTGACCCCTGTATATGACTTGAACCCTGTTTATAATGCGATCTGTGTCCAAGGGGCAATAAACGCACAAAGAGTGGAAGTATTTAAAGAAATGACCCGCTGATGTGTGATTGCACCCACCGATTACGCCATAATGATGGACAACCCACTTACTCAGACATAACAGGACCGTAACAGATGGATCGGCCAAATGCTGCTGAATACGAATGACCGTATATCTGTGATTTGATTGTTGCAACTCTATTCTGATTGGACTGCGGCTAATGCCATTTCAATGCCGGCTTAACTAAATAAAGAGCCTCCATCGGACAAACTGTATCATTAAGAAACACGGTGGAGTGACTCCTGGGGTGGTCCCTGATTTTCACCCCCTATCACTCACAAAGACCACAAAATATACAAATATTAAGCCATATTTAGTTCATACAGAGGAACAAAGCTTCCATCTCCTCTGCCCTATCTTCCTGAGCCGGTCCCGAGATATGACGATGGCTGCTCAGAGACGGCTGTAACAGAAGGCTGGTTTCCGGTTAAAATAATCATCCGAGCAGATTTCGTTCATTGCTACAATCGTCCCCTGAATCTAGTCATTCTTTTTGTATATTCAGTTGTCCAAAATGATTAATGAAAAATGTCATATTATAGGTGGGGTTTTTTCGAGTCAAATTATAAGCTACCTTATAATTACATTGTTACGTCAAACAAGTCAATGTTATGTTAAACAATGTCAGCGAAAACTAAAAGAATAATTGCAATATTTGTCCAGAAACAAATTTAACGTCTGAAAACATCTTATTATAAAGAATTTTAAAAAACACTTTCTGTCAAAGACACATTTAAATGCATGGCAATTTTTAAAAAAATTCTTAAAATCTGTTACGCAAATAAAGTCTGTGTGCCGCGGCAAAGTTCCCCCAATGGAGGAAACGGTGGGAGGGGGGGGGGTGAAAACTCGTTGTTTAAATGGGACAACGCTTTGCTATTTAAACAACTTGTAACAATTCAAACAGCAAATTACATCTACATGTTAAAATTATGTGGACCATGTGATAAAATCAACAACTCAATGGGTCTCAAGTTATTAGTAAAATATGTCTTTGTCATCCTGTGTCCAACTGATGTGTTATAGTAGATTGGTTAATTCATAAAGTTCTGTTAGACCTTGTTCATACGTCGCACTAGCACTGAATGAGCTCAAGTCCTCTTTTTTTCATAATAAATGCCACTTTAATATCTAATGTAAATTCACAGACGGTTAATTCCATATACACATGCCTACAGCGCAGCTCGCCATCAGAAAGAGACATAAAACACAACTTCCTTCCACAAAGTTCCTTTCAAGACCCCCACACGACTAAAGCGAACGTCACACAACAGACTAGACTTAACGTCATAATAAGCATAAAAATACGTCACCACGTCAAGCGCGGGAAGAGCGTTCACTAACCGATTAATCTCTCAAAAACACAACAAGCTTATGATCCAACAAATATGTCCAGTGCGCAACAATTATTAGTGAACTCCCCTGCCCGACATCCTGCTTGCTTTTTTATCACACGTTTTTTATGTCTGTACTGAGGGACACAAGTATGTGGATATACATTATAATCTTACATTTCACCATCCAGAGGGACACACGTATGTGGATATACATTATAATCTTACATTTCACCATCCAGAGGGACACACGTATGTGGATATACATTATAATCTTACATTTCACCATCCAGATGGACACAAGTATGTGGATATACATTATAATCTTACATTTCACCATCCAGAGGGACACACGTATGTGGATATCCATTATAATCTTACATTTCACCATCCAGAGGGACACACGTATGTGGATATACATTCTAATCTTACATTTCACCATCCAGAGGGACACACGTATGTGGATATACATTATAATCTTACATTTCACCATCCAGAGGGACACAAGTATGTGGATATACATTATAATCTTACATTTCACCATCCAGAGGGACACAAGTATGTGGATATACATTATAATCTTACATTTCACCATCCAGAGGGACACAAGTATGTGGATATACATTATAATCTTACATTTCACCATCCAGAGGGACCAAAGTATGTGGATATGCATTATAATCTTACATTTCACCATCCAGAGGGACACAAAAATGTGGATATCCATTATAATCTTACATTTCACCATCCAGAGGGACACAAGTATGTGGATATACATTATAATCTTACATTTCACTATCCAGAGGGACCAAAGTATGGGGATATGCATTATAATCTTGCATTTCACCATCCAGAGGGACACAAAAATGTGGATATCCATTATAATCTTACATTTCACCATCCAGAAGGACACAAGTATGTGGATATACATTATAATCTTACATTTCACCATCCAGAGTGACACAAGTATGTGGATATACATTATAATCTTACATTTCACCACCCAGAGGGACACAAGTATGTGGATATACATTATAATCTTACATTTCACCATCCAGAGGGACCAAAGTATGTGGATATGCATTATAATCTTGCATTTCACCATCCAGAGGGACACAAGTATGTGGATATGCATTATAATCTTACATTTCACCATCCAGAGGGACACAAGTATGTGGATATACATTATAATCTTACATTTCACCATCCAGAGGGACCAAAGTATGTGGATATACATTATAATCTTACATTTCACCATCCAGAGGGACACAAGTATGTGGATATACATTATAATCTTACATTTCACCATCCAGAGAGACAGAAATGTTTGGATATACATTATAATCTTACATTTCACCATCCAGAGGGACACAAGTATGTGGATATATTACTTTAACCTTTAATGTTATGTGGATATACAGTGCTAATGGTAAGTTATAATCAGAACTACACAAACGCATGTGTAATTCTGGTTTTCTACTCATTGCAGCTACTACCAAGCAACTCTGTAACATCGACGTATGGTCTCAAAGAAACCATAGTCAGTTTCAAAAATGTAGATTGTCTGCCAGTCCCAGACTTTGGGCCAAGCGTTATTTTGAACGGACCAATAAAATTTCATTATGCTGTTGACCAGCGTTGAATTTATCCCTCTGCAAGTTAGGATTTTCAAACGCGTGTTTTCTCTGCCTTTTGTGAAAAAATATTTCTTTTCTGAATCCCGTTTGAAAATGGTACAGAATGCTGTACGGCCACTAGAAACAAAAAAAAAAACGTTTAAGTGCTGGTAATCCTTACAGGATGGCATGTTTGCACATTAGTTTCATTAATACACATTTCACAAAAATAATTTATGAATATTTTATTGTTATCCAGAATTAGCAGCAGATTTGGGTGAAATTATGTTAAAAAATCTCTCAATTAGAATGTCAGACTTACCCCATCGGTTGTATAGGACGTAAGAATGGACGTAATGAGGGAGGGAAAAGTTCAACGTCCAATTTGCAGTTTCCCAGGTGTTAGTGTGGGTGCAGCTGCCTGCGCTAAAGTTTTTATTTCTGTCACCATCCACAGCATTTGCAGATTTCGTGCGAGAGGTGAATCTAGGATAAATTTCTCTGTGAGTGCCCGCCTGCGTGGTATTCTGTTTCAAAGCAACGTTACGTCCTAAACAAACAACGTTAAACCACAGTGACCTTTTAAGTAACCAAGTATAAAACATCAGATCATCAGATAATCAGATCATCAGATCATCAGATCATCCTAATGTGTTGACTGTTTTAAAATGCTGAAATTACATCCATGTTTGTGAACTAAACAAGTTTCAACCTATCACTATTAATATCGACCAAAAAAAGAACTCAAGAGACTTACAGAATATTTAAGAAACATAATAATAAACAGTTTATTTAAATCTGGATAACCTTTGATTCGAAAATGGGTCTAATGTTCGTCGTTAATTCTGACCTCTGCTAGGAACTGACCCAAAGCGATCCCCTGATTGCCAACTGCATTCATATATCTTATTGCATGCTGATTAAATAAATTTGTGCCAAGTAAGAGTTACCTCCACTGACATGGACAGCACACAATTGTGAAGCTTCTACAACAGTAATGTTAATTTGCGTAACAATTTTTGTGCCAGTGTCGCAAAAAATGTCAAATGTCTTCTTGCTGATAATGGCCTTGTTGGGAAATGGGCACACTTTCAGTTGATTATTCGTGATTTCAACCTTAAAGTCTTGCAGGGACACTGAAGAATATGCGGTTAAACAGCAATAATTTATAAAGTTCAGAGAAATCAAGGTACATTGAAAGCTTTAAAACAGGCCTGCACAACTCAAAATGTTAGGTGGGCCGTAATACTTTATGATTAGCTTGTGCGGGCCGTAATACTTTATGATTAGCTTGTGCGGGCCGTAATACTTTATGATTAGCTTGTGTGGGCCGTAATACTTTATGATTAGCTTGTGTGGGCCGTAATACTTTATGATTAGCTTGTGTGGGCCGTAATACTTTATGATTAGCTTGTGTGGGCCGTAATACTTTATGATTAGCTTGTGTGGGCCGTAAAACTTTATGATTAGCTTGTGTGGGCCGTAATACTTTATGATTAGCTTGTGTGGGCCGTAATACTTTATGATTAGCTTGTGCCGTTCGAAAGAAAGTAGGACGGGGGGAAAGCTCTTAAGAAAATAATAATAATAAAGAATAATTCGTTACTTCGCCAAGTGGGTGCTGGCGGGCCCAATGCGGTCCGCGGGCCATAAGTTGTGCAGGCCTGCTTTAAGAAAAATGTATAGTAGTTATAGGCCTTATTAGTAGTTAAAATAAAATTTAATTATATAATGTAGCCTTACAGTCATTTTTAAACTTTAGCCTCATCCAGGTGAATGAGATGGATTCATTCCAGACAAGTGAGACTCCTTGTGGTGTCACAGCGTAACATGTTGTGTCATTTCCATGATTGATTGCTGATATTTTTGTAGCTATGATGGCACTGTCAACTGAATGAGATAATATTATCAATAGCAATATTCTATATTTTACCATTTTTTGAAAGTCGTTATGTTACCTTACTTGTTTTAATTGTTTAAATTTAGTATTTGGACAAATATTTACTGGAGTTCTTTTAAATGTTTTGTATTTCATTACAAGATAATGAAAATACGTTTATAATAATAATAATTTAAAAAATACTAAAAGTTCCTAATTAATAATGCTAGTGGGATGTATCCTCCATCTTTTAAAATTTAATGAAACCTCATTTATATGAAATGTCACTGTAAAATCTATACGTAATATATAATAAATACACCCTCAAAGCTTCATAAAAGGATCACACACCCCCCCCCCCCCCCCCCCCCCCCCCCCCCCCCCCCCCCCCCCCACTTATTTTATATTATTTTGTACTGTCCATGGGAAAACAAATGGTATGGAATTGCTAAGCAAGTTGAAAGAAATGTAATTAAAGAAGAAACAAAAATCTTGTTATGTTTATGTTGGTTACAGGTTTATGTCGGACACAAGAATTGCACGACATTTCACGTTATTAATTGTTTCAAAAACCATAACATACAAGATGAATGCAATCAGGGGCGTGGAAAGCAAAGGCTGACTTTGGGTCCTTGCTTTCCCAAACCGTGATGTTTAACAGAAATAAAACGTTTATTTTTTTTCATTTTGAGAATGTTTCTGTCCCTCACCTTCAAGAAATGTTCCATAGCAACCATTATTTACTCTTGGTTACCACGACTCTTAAACAATAACATTTTTACGAAAAAGTGAAATAATAATAATCTAATACCTACGGGATACAAGTAAAAACTTCATTGACGGAGATTAGTTTAAATATTTGGTTTACATTTATCAACACACGCACGTTCTTGTAATTAAAAAAAAAAAGTATTGTTCTAGCATTTAGATGACGTCATTTTTGTGATTTATTTGACACTAATGATTAGATTCAACTTAAAAGTTTATTTCTAGTTCGTGTTTGTCTCTTCTAAATGTAGGTAGCAAATAGAAGACTATTCGACCAATCAAACGAATGCTTGTAGCGATAAATACACGGGATTGGTTGTTGGTATTTTTCAAAAATTTGAACCACCAATTATGAGTCTGATAAGCCTTGCCCATGTGCCAAAAAAAACTAAACTTCAAAAGCAGTATTCTTTTGAACAGTGCATGAGTGCTGTTTATGAGTTCATCCTTATGGATTTACGCCCACTGTTTACCTTTCTATCTACCAATATGAGGTGGGATGGTTGCAGTTGGTCGTGTGAACTCAATGAAAATTTGCCAAGTGGATATGCACAGGATATTAAAGTTGAGTTATCTAAATTGTCAGGAATTGGCGACTACACTAAAAACTAGTGGAGAAGTGGAGTTTAGTGGGCACAAGGAGGTAAACTTGAGAACGGTAGCATTAGCACGAGAACTAGGAAGGAACTCTCCGGCGCTGAAGATATTTTCCTTAGATTTGTCCGGATCCCATGGGAAAATATAGTCAGAAAATATATTTTTAAAAATTCATTATCCCAGCAGACATGTTGCCCATAAAAAAGCATGGAGGCAGCTGCAGTAGAGTTTGGACACTGACATGAGATTATGGGTAGTGCTGGAGCTAAGAAGGCTGTAGTCACAATGAGAATTTAGGTAGTGCTGGGGCGATGGATGCTGTAGTTACAATGAGAATATGGGTAATGCTGGAGCTAAGAAGGCTGTAGTCACAATGAGAATTTAGGTAGTGCTGGGGCGATGGATGGTCACAATGAGAATTTAGGTAGTGCTGGGGCGATGGATGCTGTAGTTACAATGAGAATATGGGTAATGCTGGAGCTAAGAAGGCTGTAGTCACAATGAGAATTTAGGTAGTGCTGGGGCGATGGATGCTGTAGTTACAATGAGAATATGGGTAGTGCTGGAGCTAAGAAGGCTGTAGTTACAATGAGAATTTAGGTAGTGCTGGGGCGATGGATGCTGTAGTTACAATGAGAATATGGGTAGTGCTGGAGCTAAGAAGGGTGTAGTTACAATGAGAATTTAGGTAGTGCTGGGGTGATGGAGCCTGTAGTTACAATGAGAATTTGGGAAGTGCTGAGTGTTGAGGCGATGGAGGCTTGAGAATTTGGGTAGTGTTGGAAATACGGAAGTCATAGGTGCAGTAAGAATATTTTCCCGCTCTGGAGACATTAGAAAGCTAAAGTGCACACGGTTCTTAGGAGATAGAGACTCTTCTCCATTCAGACGACCAAGCCATATGGAGATAGAGAAATAGAAAAGATACTGTGTGTTTGAGATGTGGAGCAGCGGTGCGGCACCAGGTTGAGACGACCGGTAGCAGAAAATAAGGGCAGACAACTTATGTTCTTATGACACTCTCTTCTAATGGTATTCTCTTCTTCTTATTGCAGAGGGTTTATCTTTCGTGGGAACGGGGTGGCACATTTCTTGACCCGCCCAAAGGGGCAGTAAACCTAGCTTCACCACTGGTCAACACCCCCGCCCCCTTTAAAATCTAGCTACACCTCTGGTCAAACCTCCCCCCCCCCGCGTTGGGAAAGTGACACCCTGTGCCGCCCGCACTCCCTTGACATGCCTCAGCCTATACGCACTTTTAAAAATTCCTGTCTTCAATGAGTTAGGCGCTGATTAATTCTCATGGTTATCGCGGGAGATTGGTTCAGCCGTCAGTTTTACCAACTTACCGTACTGGCACTTTGGTCCAAACCATCCTCTGGCGCAGCCACCACGACACTGTCCATCTGCACCACAGCCACTGGTCATACAGTGACACTTGTACTGACATCTTGACCCAAGCCAGTCATTAGTACATCCATCTGTGTGGAAATAAAAAAAAACTTGGAATAATGAACTGTACTTCTTTTTTTTTGGTTTATATAAGATTGTTGGTGCCAGATTTGAAAGAAAACTACATCTATGTCTATATTATATTTTTGACTTAGGTTTTTAATTAGCAAATTATAAACAATTGAAGCTTCACCGGGTGAAGTTTTCTTTACTCCGGGTCCGGGTATTTTGAGAATATACCCGGTGGGTCCAAGCATTACAAAAAAAAAAGAGTTAACTTCTCATTTTCTATATTATATGCTGGCCTTAAACGATAGTCCTACAGACAGTCCTACACCCTACCTGCAAGCCTTTGAACAATAGTCCTACAGACAGTCCTACACCCTACCTGCCGGCCTTTGAACAATAGTCCTACAGACAGTCCTACACCCTACTTGCCGGCCTTTGAACAATAGTCCTAAAGACAGTCCTACAGACAAGCAAGACGAACCAGAATAAAAAAAATATATAAAAGTAGAAGAGGTCGGACTGGTTAAACTTGGAGGATATTCATGTGTCACCCATATTCGATAATTGACTGTTTTCGTGCTTGTAGTATTGTGCCAACTTTATTATGTCCAGGATGTTAGATTCCAATAACTAATATTATTGAGCGTCATTGTTACAATGGAAAACTGTAAATATCTTACTTGTGTGTGCTGAA